TTTCTATATATCCATATTACTATATATCTTTATATTTAATAATCTTTATTTCCTTACATTTTTTTTGATTTCGCCTCTTTGTTTTAAATGTATTTTTAAGATTTTATTATTATTTTTACTTAGGTAAATTCTTTTTCAACCATCAATATGTCTTCATTTTTTTTATTGGATGCGGGGTTCCAGAACTATGATTGGGGAAAACCAGCCTCTGAGAGCTTTGTCGCAAAAATGAAAGGACTTAGCTCAGATGATTCTGGTAAAAATTATGCTGAACTATGGGTGGGCACCCACTCAAGCTGTCCGTCGCGACTCTCAGAGGGTTCCAAGCCCCTACTTGCCTCTTTTTTTGAGGAGGATAAAAACCGGAAAAGGTACTTTTCTCCTGCACATGAAGCCTCAAAATTTCGTCGAACCGTTCCTTTTCTGCTTAAAATTCTTTCTATCAAAAAGACATTGTCCATCCAAGCTCACCCTAATAAAGCTCTTGCAGAGAAGCTCTACGCGACTTCGCCAGATAAATATAAGGATCCCAACCACAAACCGGAGCTTATATGTGCTTTAACTCCTTTTGAGGCACTTTGTTGTTTCCGTCCACTGAATGAAATTGTTGCCTTTTTAAGGAGGATCCCGTCTTTAGCTAAGATGGTCTCTGCAGAGGAAGTGCTTAGCTCATACTTAGATATTCCTCCAATACTACCTGAGAAAAACAGCAATGAGGAGAAAGGGATTCTCAAGAGTTTGATGAAAAATCTCTACACTACTAATGCGGAGGATTGTGTGCGGGAGCTGCGAATTCACCTCAAGCATCTCAAGTCCTCCAAACCCCCCACGCAGTGTGTCGAGGATGGTCTTTTTGTTCGCTTCTATGAGCAATACCCAGATGACGTGGGTTGCTGGATGGCGTACTTCCTCAATTATGTTCAGCTACAGCCGGGACAGGCGTTATTTATGTCGGACAGTGAGCCCCACGCGTATATCAGTGGTGATGGAGTTGAGATTATGGCGTGCAGCGACAACGTCGTTCGTGGCGGATTGACTCCAAAGTGGAAAGATGTTAAACTATTGATCGAGATGCTACGGTATGATACGACAGGACTTGATTCAGCGATGTATCAGTGCCGCTCTGAAGAAGACCCCAACGGCTGGCAGGTGCAAATATACAATCCACCTAGTCAGTTTCCAGACTTTTCACTCTATCGCCTTCAAAATTCATCCAATGAGCCCAGAGGAAAAGTACTCATTAAAATTCCAAGTATCGGTCTTGGCTTTTGTCTGGAGGGCGAGGCAATGATTAACGGGTCAAAGGTAAAAGCTGGCGACTGTTTTGCTGTCTCATACGGCGATGTAACCTGTGAGGCTCTGAATCGGAAAACACTTATCTTTGTGAGTTCGACTAATGAATTGTCAAAATTGTAAAGAAAATCATTTATATCAGCAAATAGGTCAAAAATCGGAAAAAAATGTCTTCTCAATATATTTACTCTTATGCCCATGATCTATATATATCTATTTATATCTTACGCAAATGAAAATCCTCTATATAAAATATACCTGATTTTTTGATATATATATTTTTACGGATTCTTTTCTTGATTTTCTAAGTTCATATCGGCATATCTGTTACCACCGCTTCTATATTTTCTCCCTGCTATATGCTTATCAACTATTTTTCCCTTTCTTGTGATTGGATATTGTTGACTGTTTTTTAGTACACTCATTCACGCAGGATAGGATGTCATCTAAACCTAAACCTGCTGCTTCTAGAGAGGCATGCCTAACACCTAATGTGACGCCATGTCTCACGGGAGGGGAGCACGATGGCCTAATGGGCTCTGGACCCCTCAAAACCCACCAACCATCCGCTCACGAGCCTTCCCACACGACCCCCCCCCTCGTTCTGCGCTATTGCCTTTGGTCAAGCCGAGAAGGGCGGTTCGCACTTCTGCTGCATCGCCTCCCCTCCGTCCCCACTCCCTGATGTTTTGGAAGGCCTCGAGGCCAACACTCCTCTACGCGGGCCCCCTAGGTGAGGTCGTCGGCGAGGTCGATGCAGGGACTGTGATCCTGGAAAGGGGTCGGTATCGCGATCCTTTTAATGGCTGGTGGCTCAGCACTGCCACGGTCGAGGATGGGACCTTGGCCTGGGTTTCCTTCGACCGTCTGTCCCGTGAGCCGAATCTCGGGGAGGTCGGCCCCGCTTGGCTGCCCGTCAAAGACGACCGTCCGGTGTCTAGTGAACTCCAGTCGAGCACGCGAGGGCCTCAATCGGTTGAGGATCTTTCCTGTGAAGAAAGGGGGGGGGCATGCGAGGACAGCGTGGATATTGCTGAGTTAATGCGTTTAGCGATGGGACAGGTCGAGAGCGTTTGGTCTGATGTGGAATTGATTGACTATTACTGGGATGCGCTGGTGGTGCCCAACGACGATATTACACAGCATTGGAATCACCGATACCAGGAGGCTGTTGAGGCTTTTTTGTACGACCCTTCCGATATGAAATTCTGTAGAAAATCCATCCTTTTAGTTGAGTTAGAGGAGAAGTGGGGATCGCCACGGGACCGCCTGGAGAGGCTCCTCTTAGAGTTCCATGAGGCAGTTGAGAACATAGCTGTGGAATTTGTAAGGGACACACAGAGGCCTTTAGAGTCGCGTTGCCTTCGCCAGCACCCTACTCATATCAACGTATTCTATTATGAAGATTTATGTATAAGGGTATGTACTGACACTTCAGAGTCATATTATGGTGGCGAGGCAAACGCACACAAGGCAGGCAAGAACACTTTCCGCAGCTATGAGTACCTGTCTCTGGGGGTGGCGTTAAGCAACTGCTTACTAAGTGTTTCGTTGCACGCATTGGCCGACTTCGGAGGCTATAGATTGCTTGTCTCTGCTATCCCACCGCTTACTTCCACCGATTGTGTTTACGCGCCATTGCAAGGTAGTACATGCGCAGAAAGTGTTGAGCTCCTCAGTACGTTATCTAAGCGCCTTGCCACTTCGCTTAACCTGAGTTCACACGGCGTGCAGATACAGGCTCAGCACGGGAATGACTCTGTAGTTTCTACCAATGTACCACAGCTCAACTCTGGCATCTACACGTCGATTGTACTTCCTGTAGACATCGCGCTATACGCTGGGAAAGATCGACGGTTATATCTGTTAAATGGGTCTAATGTGTTGCCATGCAGTGCTCCTTTTTCTCTTTTCGAATCGCGTGAGGTCATCTCGAGCTCCCCACTCAGCAAGAAATCGCATCCCGGGTGTGCGGCTTCTGGACTTCGCCACGTGGCCGCACCGCGCCTCCGTGCGGAGCTGCTGCTCCGCTGTCCACATCCTATTAACCCGGACTGGTTTGTCGAAGGTGCGCATACCGAACAAGACGTCGAGCGCTTGCGCGAACTCAGTGATTTTGTTCAGACTGATGGCCTCACGACGGTGGCCGGGATACTGGGTTTAATGCTGCCGGTGGGGTTTCCCTCGCTTCCCCTGCGGGAGTGCCGCCTCTGCGGGGGGGGATTGGGGAACGAATTGCGGTTCCTCGTATGCCGTCATGAGGACCGCTGCTGCTATATCTGCACACATTGCTATACCGCACGCATGTTCGCCAGGCTAGACAACCTTAACAAGAGGAAAGAGGCGCTCGCGTCCTTATCGAGAAAAGGTAAGCATCGACATCGGAGTCTTTACCCGATAGTGGATCCTGTTAACTTTACGGATGCCGTGCGGTGCGGCGGTGCGGCTCGGGGTGCGGATGCACTGGAACTGGAGCCATCAATCGCATCACTGATGCATGCAAACGGCCTCAACTTGCGTTATTTAGGCTTCGTTTACCACAGACTCCCACAAGCATTTCGCCCTGTTATGGGACCTTATCTGGAGGTTGAAATGGTTTCGAGGGCGGCGAAAAAGCTTTTATCCGCTCGCTTGCGTAAGGCACTAACACCGCAGTCTGCCCATGCTGTTGTGGAGGAATTTTTTATAATGCTCTTGAGCCCCAACGGGGATTCAGTGGAGCGATTTTGGAATGAGGAGTTGGGCCCGCAGATCGGACGCTTATTTCCAGGGGTGGTGTCACCTTTTTCTACCGCTTCCCTTTCTATAGAGTTGCTGTTGGAACGTCTTGGCCAGCTTTCCGGGGTGGTTTTTTCCAAGGAAAGCCTTGCATCATTATTCCGCCTTTGTTCAACAGAAGCAGAGAAGTCAGAGGGTGAGGTAGTATCACCTATTTCACAAGCCAAACCCTTCATAGAACTAAAAGCTATCAACCCATGTGTTAAGGTATATAGATTGCCTATGCAGAGACTCTCAGAAGATCGAGAAAAGGCTAGGGCTGCTATTTCGTCTGTGTTGGAGCGTCTGTTGGTATTCTGGATCGGATACACACCAAATGGTTCAGATGAAAGGCTCCAGCCCAATTATCTAACTAAATTAGACTTAGACTACACAGGGTGAGCTGTTTTACGGAAGATACAACGACAACCCTATATTGAATCTATATATAATGAAGAAAAGTGTTGTCTGACTCTTTTAAATGCTTTTATTGGATCATAGGTTTGTGTTAACGAATATCTGGGATTTTTTTTAGCCTCACCACCGGATGTGTATATCCTTGCGACAGTCGTTGAGATTGAAGCTGTGAAGATATGATATGACTCTCTGTGTTTACGCATAATTTGCCTCATTCTATTCTTGGTTTTGCGCCTTTATTTTATTGACGAGTATCCCCTCTTTTTCCCTACTAACACACCATTTTTAGCGTTAATAGCACAGCAATAGAATTACGTATACGTATCCCGCTATTGATAATACTATTTTATCCTTTTAGATTAATAAAGTCGGATAATACCTATACGCCCATCTCTCTCTCTCTCTCTCTTTCTTATAGACCGTCGTAAAGGACGCGACCTGAAAAGACGCTATTCCCTCCTCCTTCATCGCGTCCTACCCATGACATCGATGCTTAAGGATATCACAAACAGCAATTCGAACACAACCGGCGGGCACCCGGGCTCCCCTCTGCACCTCGAGAAGCCCTTTAAGGCCGTGCCCGATGCCACGCGGGTGAGCCTTCCCCTCCTCCAGGCCTCCATTCCTACAGCAGCGCACCCTGTGGTGCTCCCCATCCCCCCCAGCGAGGTCGCGACCAAGTTGACGCGCATCACCGAGGGCCTTCGCCAGCTCCTCCAGGGCATGTCGGCCTGGATCGCGATGCGGGAACCCATGGCCAACAGCGCCGAGCTCGAGGCCGTCCATCCGCAGCTTCGCGAGGTGGAGTCGCTGCTCGCGCAGGCCCGGGCCCTGCACCGCCTGCAGGGCCCCTTTGCCACCTCGAAGGCGCCCTCTCCCCAGGCTCCGGGGGGACAAATCGGGCCAGAGGAGACGACCCAGGCGGCCGAGCGGCCTTTGATTGTCATCGGGGGGAGTCGGCGGGGGCTCGCGCCCCCGAGCCGGCGGCGCCTGTCCGAGTCTAAATTTTCCTACGGCCGCATTTCCTGGCCCCCTACAGTGAGCCGCCGGATCGTCGTCGTGGAGTTTAAACGACAGCGGCTGAAGCGGTGTTTATCTGAGGTCGCGATGGATCCCGGGACCTACGTGATCGTCCCTGGCGACCGCGGGTACGACTGTGGGTTGGTGGTGCAGTGCGGAGTGTGGAATCCGGCCCTGGACGGCTTCGAGGAGGATACGCTGCGCACGATGGATGACAACCCCATTTCCATCACGCGGATGAAAGGGGATGTCGTCACCGTCCTGCGGGAGGCCACCACCGAGGAGGTTCATCAGCTCTACGGTGAGCAGGCTACCAAAGAGCGGTTGGCACTCAAGACCTGCCGCGAGCTTGTGCAAAAACTCGAACTCGATATGACTGTCGTTGACTGCGAATACCAGTTCGACGGGACGAAAATAAGCTTTTACTTTGAAGCGAGTCATTCCATCGACTTTCGAGACCTCAACAGGGAATTGTTTCGAATCTTCAATGCTCGGATTTGGATGGAGAACGTTAACAATTGTGTTAAAAATGTGATTCCAGAAGGCGCCATGTCGAAAAGCGATAAGATCCAATATCAAAGCAGTGGATTACGGCTTCCACCTCATTGACGCTAGAAATAAAAAAGTCCTTCACAGGAATCAGTAATAGCGGCAGAGAGCTAATTTACATAGAAGGACAAGTTCATAGACGGGGAAAGAGTATAAATATATTCTGTTTATATCTTCCTTTTCCTCGAGCGCGAATCAGTATAACTCTTTAATTTACCTTTCTTATTCCTTCTCGAATATCAGTCTATTTTTATCGACTACCCTTGAATTGTAGTGACGAGCATCTTTAGTTTTTTACCCTTTCATGTTTGTTATCTATCAATTGATGCTATGTTGCAAAATATTTCTCTTCATACAATATTTACTTTTCACATTTTTTAAAAAATTACTGATCATTTAGTGTTGAAGCGAAATATGAAATTCACTCTCCTCTCTTCTGCATGCACTCACATCTTTTCTTTTAGCTGTGGAAAAAAACAAATTATGGGAAGACTAAATTTCGGGAAAAAATGAGAAATATTAAAAAAAATCGTTTTTCGATTTATAAATATTTCTTAATCTTTCAAAGCAGTAATTACTTATTTTTATTAATATCACAATAATTTTATATGATATCTCTTTACCGCATGTCCATCTATTCACATTTTACTGCTCTACAAGAGGCCCTATTTCCTATCCACACTATTTTTCAGCTTTTTAGATGCACTATGATTCCCTCAGATCAATCCACTTTAGATTTACGTTTCCTCAACCGAAACAGTTTACTCAAAAATATATATTGAAAAATACCAATAGAAAAAATTATCGAATTTTTGGAAATGCATTGCTATCTATCTATTGGTAGGTTAGTTTTGTTTGTTTGTTTTGGATTATTGTTATGCAGATAATTAGGAGGAAAAACGCACACAGCTACTAATAATTTTATTTTCTGATGAATATAAAAAGCAACTATACTACTTTCGAGAAAAGTTGAGGTTAGGGTGATCGTAAGCTGCTATTCTTCTAAAACACAAAAAATAGGAGGCGTGAGTACTAAAACGCGAGTCTGAATCTCACTTATCCCGCCTTTTCTCCCCTTTTTTTTCATTTCATGATTTTTATTCGTTCGATTTAGGGAAAAGTCGAAAATCCACCATACTGGATCCTACGATGTTTTAAAGCCTTTCAATGGACAAAATGTTATCGTGTGATGCAAGTGTTACTCTGAACTTCATATATTTTGCCTGCTTTATATGGCAGACATAATAGCAACGACGTGCTTGATGACCTCATCGATTTCACTCTTTCGTACGACACCGAGCGACCGAGATGTCTCTCGGGCTTTGAATTAAATTTACGGCGATCTATTCAATATTCAGGAGGAGAACGTCAGGTAAAGATTGATATCCTGATCGACATCGATTAATCAATTAATTATCATGTAATAGGTTTGGCGATACGATTCTTTATTCTGTAGTGATGGTAAGAAACATTTAGAAAGCTTCCTTGAAAGACATATTTTTCTTCTAAAATTGAAGATGGTATTTACTCTTCGTAGATCGTAAAGGGGATTAGGACTCGATGCCAAGTTACTCTTTGCACTTAGAACCGGGGGAGAGGTAAGAGGACGCCTATGGATTTTTCGATCGGTAGACAAGAGAATGGGAAAATGATATGACTGGTTCGCCATGTAGGCTAATTTTCTACTGTCATTAAGGCGAAAGAGAGTTAACATAACACGCGATTCTTCAAAAGAACTTTACTCCTTTAGTATTTCCATTATAGTCAGGGGAGAGGGTTATTAATTTCAAATTTATCAATCAAAAACAGCAATTTCTCTTTTCCTGTCTTTTGCTTCAAAAGGTGAAAGAGAGGAGATGAGATATTGTTATTCAGGGGAGTCAGATTTGTGATTTTGATTCTTATTCTAAAGTTTTTCGTACGGAGTGGAATGATTATTCTATGAAACAATTGAATTCTTGAAGCTTTCGAATCGAAGGAAACGTATACTTTCTGTTTCCTTGGAATTTTTTCTTTTATAAAATGGTCACACCAGTTTAGAAGTCTAATTTTCTCTAGAGTTTTTTTCTCACTTGTGCACATCTAATATTGTTATCTGTATTGATATCAATAACTCTATATTTCTATATATATAATAGTGATAAATTGATTAATATAGAACCCTATTTGTTATTTATCTATCAAGCGAAAGTTCGATATGCCCCTGCTAGATCACAATAAAGTTTTCCCATTTATTCACCCATAGCATTTCATCTGGTCCATTTTCATGACTGGCAGGGTTTAGGATGCAGCAGGCCGCCAAATTATCCTGGAAGGACCGCACCCCGTACGGGATCTCGGCCTCGCAGTTCGGCATGGCCCTGGGCTATTGCGGATGCGTTTCGGATTATGTGGATTACCTGCGCAATATCGTCGGGACGTCCCAGGAGTTTTGCGGAAACGCGTGCACCGACCATGGCATCCGCACGGAGCCGAAAGCGCGCGCGCTCTATGAGCTCCTAACGGGTGAAAAAGTCCACGATGGAGGGTTCTTCCTGACGGCGGACAACCTCCTCGGCTGCTCGCCCGACGGGCGCGTTTTCTATTGGGAGCCAGAGGCGCCGACCCGGGGGCCGGCCCCCTCGGACGCGGCGGCGGCGAAGAAATCCCGCCCCGATCCGGCCCCCGCGCCGTCGGGGGTGGGACTTCGCCGGCGGCTTCGCCTGCTGGAGATCAAGTCGCCCTTCCGCGCGCTTTTTCACGGCGGCCGGGCCGACGCCGCGCCGTTCGGGATCCCCC